GGTGGGGTGGGGTGGGCCTCCAGCTTCTGGCTTCCAGCCTGAGCAAGAAGCCACACAGGGTGGGGGCCAGCGTCCAGAGTCACAGGGAAAGCAGCCCGAGCCTGCTCTTTCTCTGGACATTTAAGTAACTGAGCCAACACATTTCCTTTTTGTTTAAGCCAGTTTGAGGTGAGAGCCAAAACATCCTAAGTGATTCATTTAATCTCCATTTTATTTTTAGTAATCCATTAGTTTCTCCTTGGGGATTGTGGGAGTAATTGCAAAGTGAGGCAAAATAATACCGTTAAATTAAACTGGCAGAGTGTGTTGGTGTTGACTGGCATCCTTCTTCACTCCGAACAGTTAGCCGGTAGTGATTTAGTATTCAAAGAGGTGAGAATAAATTGTATCCCTTTCAGATTTTCTCTTTTTTTCCCCCAAAAGGTTTTGCCTTTTATTCAACCCACTTGGACTGTGGATGCTGAGAAGGGGCTTAGACTATTGGCATAAAACCATCCCCTTGTAGAGGTGTACTTTGGCAGTACAGACCTGTTCTTCATGTTTTCTTGAACAATATGTACTCACAATTTTAGTTCCTTATTTGCCTTTGTTCTTAAAATTTTAATATGACTGTTCCAATTATAAAAATAAAATGAAAGTTAATATAAAAAATACCTATGCCGGGGTCTAGCCTCGGCGTGGGTGGGTCAACAATGGCCTTGCCAACGTGTTGATCTGACTGGAAGTGGAGCTCAAAAGTCGGGGGGCTCAGACAGATCCTGGGGCCTCGCCGGGTCAGACTCCTCCATACCTATATGTGCCTTCCTCTATGCCTTCTAGAGAAAGAGAACGTTTACCAGTTTTATTGAACAGTAAAAGACCCAGGTAGTCCTCCCTCACAGCAGTTTCCTTTCTCTTCCTTCAAGGAACCTCTGCTGGTTTTGTTCTTTATTATTTTCATGCGTTTATTTGTGGTTTTATTACATGTGGATTGTATGGCTTTTGTATATTTTTCTAAAAACAGGTGCTTATGTACATCTGTCATTTAAAATCACAACAGAGTTTAGAATAAATTTAGATTGCGAGCCAGTCAGTGGTGTGGTGGTTGAGGTGGCTGGATCCTGCATGGCCAACTGTGCAGTTCAGTCCCAGACCCTGTGGCTTAAAAAACATGGTGGGCATGTGTGCATGAGTGTCCAAAATCCCAAAAGAATTGGAGAAGGGATTGTAGCATGACCATCCTCCATAGGGGATGCTTCCTTACCATCTCTCCCTCACTTCTCCACCCCCCTCTCTCTCCTGTGAGCATACATGCTCTAGCAGATTTAAATAAATAAATAAATAAATTTAGGATTATTGAAAGAAGCTATAACGTTGTTCATGGACACTTGTCAGAAGATGTTAGGCGTCCTAGTAATCAGTAATACAGTCGTCTAAAGTTTGAATGGTTAATGAGTTTGAATCAACATGCAGACAGCTTTTTAGATCTGTCCTGTTTTCTGCATTTTGACAATTAGCCATCAGACAATCAAAATTTACTTTTGTGCTTTCTCATTTTGTCAGTTCGTCCTGTTGCTTACATTTATTGGGTGGGTATAGAAGAGACATCCATGCCTGTGAACTGACGATAAGTACCTTGAAATAGCATCATGGTTATTTAGGAGCCTCCTTAAAAATCTTTTGCTCTACTCTATTTCCTTTGTGACCCACCACTAAGTCTCCAAATTTATTTTGTGTTGTTATTGTCAGAAACATATAAGGCAGTCTTCAAAAAGTTCATGGAAAGTATATATTTTGAAAATAATATGCAGGCCAGCCCCAAGGCTGAATGATTAAAGAATCCCATATGGACTGTGGTTTAGATCTTAAGTTATTGACTTTTGTATTCAAAAACCATTCTTTTATTGCCAGAAGATTCATCCTCTTTTCTCTTGATTGGAATGTTGCCTCACAAAACTGAATAGTCATTTCCATTCAGAAATCATCACTTCCTTTCAGTCTGGGAACCTAATTACCAATAAAGTATCAGAGAAAGATTTATGACAATCAAAAGATAATTTCTTTGTTTTTAATGCTGTCATTAAATATTTAACATTTTTTTAAAAGTAAACTGAAGAGACCTTTTCTCCTAAACTCGTGTATATTGGGTTGTCTATGCATTTTTGCATAGAAAAAAATACGTCGTGACTTTCTAACAACCCAATATTATATCTGTTTTACAGGAAAGAAAATAATAACTTATTTTGAACTTATGTTGAAAGCTAACTTCAGGTTTTTGTGCTTTGTATATGTACAATTTTTGTTGTTAAAAGAATGGGCTCTTTAATTAAATTTAAATGTCAGTATCTGTAACTTTTGTCTTCATTGTTGACCCAGGATCTCAAATTAAAATGTTAGAAGAATTTAACCATCAGTGGAAATAACCCATGTGAGGTTCCTGTGAAAACCAGGTCTTTCTCATTGGTAGGCAGCCTGCTATATTCAAGATAATACTTTGTTTTGGACAGGAGGACAAATAAAGACAGGAGAAATGCAAGATATTTACGTCATTATCCTGTTAATGTTTTATATCCACTTTTCTTGTTTCAAAAACTTTAGTGTTACACTTGGTTTATAAGAGAAGTCTATTGAAAAATTTTTTTGAAAAGTCAATTCACTAACCTGATTATGCTGTTTTAACTTTTTATGCACTGGTATTTTGTTTTTTGTTTGTTTGTTTGTTTTTGTTGTTGTTGTTTTTTTAATGCGTAAAGGTATTTGGGTTGTTTTTATATCTCCAAATGTAATGGTGTCTGGTATCTATTGGGGGGGGGGGGGCCTGTTGGGCTGAGGGAGCTTCTAGACAGTGACTCAGATCTGCAATTAGGTCTTGGTCTCCGCACCCTTGTTGACTTGAAAGCGCTGGCCATAGACCATTTAGTCTGGGACAGCAGTACATGAATCATCTAAATTGGCACAAATTATTTTGAATGCTACTTATCATTTTCTACTCTTTTTTTCTGTGATTGATGGAATTTAAAAAGGATACCTGTTCTTTGAGCCTGAAAGTATAGTAGAGAATAAATATACATTTGTGAAAATACATTTCTTCCCTAGACAGAATGAAAAGCAATGGAATGTTAGACATTTGTAAGCATTTCTGATTTCATAGGTCTGTTTTAGAAGATTCCTCCAGACTTCATACCCTTTTCTTTTTGAGGAAGGTAGGAAGTAAACTGTTACTTATTTTCTAGTTCCTGTTTAGTTTGCAACGCGTACTTTTCAGAATGAGAAATACTTGCAGGGGCCATCTTGCTACCTGGAGCCTTGGCTTATCCACCATAGCATAACTGAGGCAGGAGAGAGTCCTGGACGTTTGTTTTGCTTTCTTCTAACTTGTTCAGTCCATCAGCCTCCCATATTTATAGTGAAATTTGAAATCCATTTCTTCCTTTACCAAAATGATAGAAAGGGAGTAAGTCATTTTTCATATTTACTAAATAAGTTGACAGTGTTTCAATTTATTTTAAAAAGTTTTCTTTCTTTGTTTTAACTTATTTTAGAGCAAAACTTTGAAGTCATATTTATGCTAATATTAAAGATATCAATCCCTTAGAAATAGAAATAAAACACACACTTTTCCTAGATAGAAAGCCCTTTAATAGTTTTGTTTTCTTGTTTTGGTTTGTTTGTTTCATTTTTTTCTTCTTTTGGTTTTCTCTGATGATGTATTAGAGGCCTTTCTTAGCACTTCTTATCTTACTCTGTATGTTCTAAAGACAAAAGAAGCCGATTTGTCCATATAGGAGATAAAAGACTAAACACGTTGCTGATTTGTAATGTGATTTGACTTTAATATGTGGATGAATCTTTATTTTCATGTTGGAATGTATGAGTTGGCATCTCAGGAATGTACTGTGGCAGTAAGAAGAAAGCTATAGCTCTGTACCTTTGTGCATTGTAGGAATAACTTGTTTTGTGTCCGGGGGTATTTGTGCATGTGTGGGGTATTTGTGCATGTGTGTTAAGTTGTCTTTGTTAGTGTAGGGTATTACTTTTGGTTAGACCATGTTCATTTTA